TTCATACATTTGCCCAGAAGGATGTGGCCAATAAATTGTGTAATGATTTTGCATATAATTGGCTACCGGTGCTGGTGAATATGTCATTCAAAATCAATAAAATTTTCTATCCCCGTATGATAATAATATTGTGTGAAGCAATTTCAAATTCTGTTAATGATGTCCTGGATTTAGAGGCTGAGCGGGCGTTAGAGATGATTCAAAACTTAGCAGCGGTTAAGCCCATGAGTGATTCCGACTTTGATGCTTTGGGGGTCAGGGTGCTCGATAATTTTTTTGTGGATCACATACCTCCCCTACCTGAGTCGGAGGAGGATGATACATCTTAGAATGTAGTGGTTAGACCTTCTGAAGCTGGTTGTGAGGACCGGCTGGGAAGTCAGAACATTCCTAAACGCAAGTGGAAGCGGAAGGTGTACCTGGTGTCCGCAGTGCGTAGGAGTGCTAGGATCCATACTGCAAAAAAATTCCATGATGACTTATGAAAGGAATCTTTTGGAATAGCAGAGGTCTGAAAGACTTGGCTAAAAGAAGGTTTCTTGCAGAGGCGTCTATCGAACATAGGTTAGATTTTGTCGCATTTTTGGAAACTGGTAGAGATAATTTCCCCCCACAATTTCTTAATACTTTGTCGGGAGGTATTGATTTTGACTGGCACTGTCTGCCACCGAGAGGGAGATCGGTCGGGATCTTACTCGGGGTTAGATGCAATTCACTCGAGGTCCGAAGTATTCAGTCCTTAGATGTTAAAGTTGAAACCACAGTTTTGCCGACCTCGGAGCTTCGTGCCAAGCTTGACGCGGAGATGCGATTGAAAGAGCTTCTTCGTGAAGAGGAATTAAAGTGGGCGTTGCGGGCTAAGGTCCCACGAGTAGTCCAGGGGGACGCGAACACTCAATTCTTTCACATGATCGCTAATGGAAAACACAGAAAGAAGAGGATCTTTCAGCTTGAACAAGATGAAGGAATGATTTTCGGACAGGAGAATCTAAAATTGTACATTACCGAGTATTACAAGCAGTTGTTTGGGCCTCCAGAGGATAACTGTGTGTCTCTGGATGAATCTAGGGTTGAGGATTTGCCTCAACTAACTACGGTGGAGAATGATATTTTGGCTGCTCCTTTTACTGAGAAAGAAGTATTTGAAGCCATATGCAGATGAAAAATAATAAGGCCCTGGGCCCGGGTGGATTTCCGGCTGAATTTTATAAGAAGTGTAGGCATATTATCAAAGAGGATTTGTTGTCTTTGTTCAATGATATATTCTCTGGACAACTTCAGCTTTTTCAACTGAATTTTGGAACGATAACACTACTTCCTAAGAAAACAGAGGCTGTTAGAATTGAGCAATTCAGGCCCATATGTCTTCTTAATGTTAGTTTCAAAATCTTTACCAAGGTCGGGACTAATAGGCTCACGCAGATTGCGCATTCTGTGGTGCAGCCTACCCAAACTGCTTTCATGCCGGAGAGGAACATCCATGAAGGGGTTGTGGTCCTTCATGAAACGCTCCACGAGATCCACACGAAAAAACTAGATGGAGTTGTTTTCAAGGTGGATTTCGAGAAAGCGTACGGTAAAGTTAAATGGCCTTTCCTTCAACAGGCCTTACGCATGAAGGGTTTTGATGCAGCCTGGCGACGCCAGGTAGAATCCTTCACGCAAAAAGGGAGTGTTGGAATTAAAGTGAATGATGACATGGGTCATTATTTCCAGACACACAAGGGCCTGAGACAAGGTGATGCAATGTCTCCTATTCTGTTCAATATCGTGGTTGACATGTTGGCAATCCTGATAGGAAGGGCAAAGGAGTCCGGTCAGGTGGGTGGCTTGGTGCCTCATCTAGTTGATGGTGGTGTGTCCATCCTGCAGTACGCGGATGATACAATCATCTTTATGTAGCATGACTTGGCAAAAGCGAGAAACATGAAGCTGGTGTTATGCTTATTTGAACAATTGACCGGTTTAAAGATTAACTTTTATAAAAGCGAGTTGTTATGTTTTGGTAGAGCCAATGAGGAACAAGAGGCTTATATGCAATTGTTTGGATGCGAATTGGGGGCATTACCTTTCACATACCTAGGCATACCGATTCACCATCGTAAGCTGACAAACAGAGAATGGAAGTGCATCGAGGATCGGTTTGAGAAGAAGCTGAGTTGCTGGAAGGCCAAACTCATGTCATATGGAGGCCGATTGATTCTTATTAATTCGGTGATCACGAGTATGCCTATGTTTCTCTTATCTTTCTTCGAAGTCCCAGTTGTGGTTAGGGAAATGCTAGACTTTTATCGATCCCGATTCTTCTGGCAGAGTGATGAACTAAAGAGAAAATACCGACTCGCCAAATGGGATATCATCTGTCGACCAAAGGACCAGGGGTGCCTTGGTATTGAGAATCTTGAAGTCAAGAACAGATGTCTTCTCAGTAAGTGGCTATATAAGTTATCAGTTGAGACTGAGGCAACGTGGGCGCAGATTCTCCATAGAAAGTATCTGCAGTCCAAGACTTTGTCCCAAGTGACGGTGAGACCGATTGACTCGCCGTTTTGGAAGGGGTTTATGAGAGTCAATGTTGCCTTCTTTAATAGAACAAAGTTTATTGTCGGTAATGGCAAGACCACTCGCTTCTGGGAGGATACTTGGCTTGGCGAAACGCCGTTGGCGCTTCAGTATCCGTCCCTGTATCGTATTGTTCAACGACGTGATGCTCCTGTTGCAATGATTATGCAGTCTATTCCCCTTAATATGTAGTTCAGGAGGGTGCTTGTTGGCGACCGGTGGGAAGCATGGCTTCATATGGTGAGTAGACTGATGAAGGTTCAGCTAGCTCATCACCCCGGTCAGTTGTGTTGGAAGCTTACTAGGTCTGGAGAGTTCATAGTCAAGTCGATGTATATCGACGTCATTAACTCTATTGTTATTCATAGTTCCAAACATGTTTGTTTGGAAAGTAAAGGTTCTTTTGAAAATTAAAGTGTTTATGTGGTTTGTACATAAACAAGTCATTTTAACAAAGGATAAGTTGGTTAAGCGCAACTGGACATAATCTACCAGGTGTAGTTTTTGTGATCGGGACGAAACTATCAAGCACCTCTTCTTTGATTGCCCGTTGTCGAGAGTATTGTGGCACACGGTGCAAATTGCCTTTAACATTACTCCTCCGAATTCGGTCAGTTCGTTATTTGGAACATGGCTAGTTGGGATAGAGTCCGAAACAGCTAGACACATTCGCGTAGGAGTATGCGCGTTGTTATGGGCAATTTGGAACTGCAGAAATGATTTGGCTTTTAACAGAACAACAACTATTCACTTTTTGCAGGTTTTATTTCGAGCTACTGCCCAGATCCGTATACGGTCCTTAGTCACTCCGACGGAGGACAGGGAGCGTTTGGTTACTGGATCTGTCCGGTGGGAGATGGTAGCGCGGGATATCTTCAACCGGTTTGGATGGCGGTCATGTAATAGGATAGGCGATTAGTTTATCTATCTTTGTTATGCCAGCCGGTTGTGGCTTTTGGGCCTTCTGTTTTTGGCGTTGTGGCTCTGTGTGAGCTTGCTGTTTTTTTGTTTTCGGACTTTCAGACCTTGTTGAACCTCTATTTATATTTAAATGTGGTTGTATGCATCGTTCAGATGCAGAGGTCGGGGAGTCTCTCCTTTTCGAAAAAAAGAGACCCAGCTGCTTGACGTCGCAGAATTCAGAAAGGACGCTGCATGATGTAGGCAATTCTGATTAACATAGACGGGCATTTCTTAACAAAATCTGAAGAAAGTTAATGTTGAAAAAGAAGCAATGCTTATGGTGCTAGCTAGCAAGAAACAAGGGAGATCTAAGCGAAACTTGACTTGAAAAAATGCGGCAAGTCTATCATGTCTGCTCTGCTAGCAACAGTAGACGGAATCATATCAGGAGCGAGCTAAATTACAGACGATCTTACTATGCTTCCTCCAAAATGAATTCATGCATTGAGCAGTACCTTGGCACCCTCACTTCCGCGAGATTTCGGCTCCGGCTCGCCGCGTCGGTCGAGCACCACCGTCCACCAGCTGCTGTCGATCCCGCTCATTAAATCTTGCCGCGCCGGGCCGCTGGCGAGATGCTTTAGATTGACGCCTGCGCCACCGTAGCCAGCGGTTGGAGTACACCGCAAGCCGTCGGCGGCCCCTTCGTGTGCATCTCCGTCCCAGCCGCTTGCTACTCTCCTCGAGCTCTCCGCGGTGGAGGAGGTTACCACCACTCTGCCTGTCTAGCTCCTCGAGCTCTCGCTCGCTCTCTGTCTATCTCAAGGGATTGAGGAATGGATAAGAGCGGCCGGAATGGATTAGAGAAAGTAGTGGATGAGAAGAGAGGAAGGGGAAGACATAAGGTGGTGGGCCCCACGACATGATCCGCGGTTGTACACACGCGCAGGACAAGGAAATCAAATTCGAGCCAGAAGAGTCCTTGGATTTTTATTATCTGACAGGGCAAAGGTTTACAATTTTACGAGGAGGAAGCCCATAAAATCTAACAACACACGCACGACCCGTATAACCCCATCTCGTTCAAGGAAACGTCTCCTCCGCTGTCTTCGCTGGTTGCGTGATTATCGCAGATAGCCGTATTGTAGTTTAATTTGATGCAGGCCGTAATGCATTTATGTTGGTTGCATTCACCAATATCAATACGGGCACAATCTTTCAGCTTAGCGCCTGAACCAAAAAATTTACAGATGCACCCGAAAAATCATGTTAGTAAGTGTTTCCATGATCCTAATTTACAATTCGGAATTCAGTACTACGATCCGAGCCAGCTTAACTTACGGGAGGAAATGAGGAGCAGGGCCAAGGAGAAGGCAGCAAGCAGTTGAGCGCTGTTGAACGCCATGACCAATTGCTCGATCCAATGAAATTGTTGGATGGGATGCGAGTGTGAGGAGAACAACATCACAGTGCTATTTATACAAGTAATGGAAGTCTTAGCCTCTTGGCCCTGCATTAATATCTGAGAAGGATATGTGTATCAAAATGTTGCATGTTGGGCAGAATTAATTGTGTTCATTAATGTTGATTAATACTTGCCTAATCTCTAACCCCAGCTTGTGGCTTATGACAAAGGTCGGTAGTGTGCGTTCGTCAATAACCCGAATAAATATTGTAGTAGTAAATACGTATACACGGGTAATGAACGTTGATATTATGTAGAAAATTAATTGCATGTAGATATTAGGTAGAATTTAAATTAAACATTATTTGTGAGATAAGCACAAACATTAATTATTTGTTATCTAGGTCATTTGATTGACCTGTTTTGATGGCCGAGATTAATTGAATGTGTTTCTTGGGTCTTTTTATATTGGTATAGATATAGGCGCAAATCAGTTATCATTGATCAATCTCTACTCTTATCTCTACTCTAAAAGGGAAGTTGGTATCTCGATATCCTGGTTTATTTTTGCCTCACCTGTTTATTTTTGTCTAACCTCCCATCATCCCCATTGCATTGGTTTATTTTCGCCTCATCTCTCAACACCCCATCCCATTGGATTTTTCTCCCGTACATTAAAAACCCAATCCAATTAAAGGGGGAGATCTTGTGTGATGCTTGCTCTGGTAGTCGCTGGTTCAATTCATTTAGAAAAATAATAGTAAATAATAGGAAATTCAGAATTCAGAAATCCCAACATATATGTGAGATAATCTTTCTAAAAGACATACATAAGTTTTTTGCCAATATTCTTCCAAAACAAAATCACACAATTCTCAAAAACGAATCGCTCGGGTGCATTATCCCATTTATCATTATCATTATCTATACTATTAAATGGCAATCACAACTTTACAATATAACAAAAACAACATATCTTTTTCGTATCTTATCAAATTACATATATTTTCTTATCTTACCAAATCACCTATATCTCTACTATTATAAGGAGTTGGTAGGCCGACACGCATTGTTTACTTTTGCCTTCAACTCCCACCACCACCCCTCCATGAATGGGAACCTTTCATGCGAAACTACACATAATCTCCTCTCTTAACAAATTAACTTGCAAAAATCTGAACGTATCATAACATTCCTCACCTTGATAGGTATGTTTCATTAATGGACTTTCTTTTCATGCCTGTGCACATGATCCACTTTATGTTACAAATTATGGTTAGAACTCTCCTTAATAAATAGATTTCTTTGATCGCATTGCCTTTCCATAAAGTGGTACACATAATCTTCTTCATTTGAATCAGTTTGGCCCTAGGTTTTCTTACTTCTCGTATCTGCCTTGCCCATGGCTCTGCCGTCGACTACCGTCCATTTCGCAGCTCTGGCGCCAGCGCCAGCCTTGGCCATCTCCATATCGGTATCCCCTACCCAGGGAAACACAGAGTCGGGCCGTCTAAGCGACCAACGGTGTCGATGTAGGATCATGTAACTACTGTCAAAATCAATATAGGTCAAAGATAAATAGTGGCGGATAGGGCATGTCACCCGCCACTGCTACTTTTCCAAAAGAGTAGTGGCGGGTAACAGGACATGCCCGTCACAGTTATGGGCATGTCTATGGTGGTCGCCG